GTGGTTAGGGGGCAGGTGCCGATCACACAATGATCCTGCAGCGCGGCAAAGAAGCGGTGTGGTGCAATCACACCAGCAATCGCTAGGCGCCGCTTCCGTGGCAAACAGGATGGATTTTTTTAAACTGAAGTTTGTGCATACGCATGACTGAGCAATCGTATCTGCACATCCGAAGGCGGGTGGAGGGCGACAGACGCTTCCAGACCCCAACAGAGCTCCGAGGCATAGCCAATGAAGGGGGAGGTGGGCCCCCTCGTCACAGCCACTCTAACCACCTGCGCGACAGTGGCCATAGTGACCCTCCAGAGGCAGCAAGCCTAGCTGCAGTGGGAGGGGGCCTCTTTGGGCGCATGCACCGTTGGGCGCTTGTGCGCATCCTGTGGAGACTTGGGGGAAAAAACCTGTTCGCGACAGGACATGGGCGGGCGCCGGATGCCGCGGATTCCACCGGAAACACGATCAGGCACCCGCCCTTGCCCTGCGGTTTCCGGAAACTAGTACCTCGGAGGTACTAGTTTTTTACCCCGCATCTTCGGCGGGAAGCCTTGGGTTTGGCATGGGAGCTCTATGCTTCCCAGATGTGGAGCTGTGATCGCGCCCGGAATATCCACCTATCTTCCGTCTCTGTAGCTTGGCTAATGTTCCGTGTGACCGCAGCCAGAGAGAATTAAGACAGCTATTTGGTACCAGTAACACATAGGAAAGTGATTCCAAACCAGGCACCTGTGAACAGCTAGGCTATCCAGTTGACGGAATAAGGTTATTTATATTTATCAAAAGCAGGAAGATTTTTCCAGTAGCCTTAACACTTAACTAAAAAGGATTGCCAAAAATATCAGACACAGGAAATTCCACATTTCACATGTCAGCAAGCAAGTTTTCAGACAAGAGGAAACGTTTTGGCCTTTAGACAAAATGGATTTGCTTGACCAATTTAAGATGGCAGCTGATGAAGGTTAAGGTTCTCTCTGTGACAAATGGATTTCTGTATGTTTCAATGTTTATAATTTTGTTCATTCACTTTCTTATGCAGGCACTGCCCACTTTGACTTATGCAAAGGAAGCAGAGGGAATTGCTAGCAGGTGCCGACATCTGTAACAAGAGAGGATACATTAGTGAAAGGGTCTGTGGTAGTCCAGCTGGTGTTGGTGGATCTAATAACAACATAGCTATGTTATTTGACTTCTGTGACAAATCTGTATAGCTGCAGTTTATCTCCCTTCATATATTTTGATTTCATTGCCTGTATTTTCTAGGGTTTCCCCTACCTTATGTGCTGCAAACCAAGTCTTATTATTAGTGTTAATGGCAGTGGGAAGATGAATTTATCCACAACTAACTGAGTGGGGTCCACTGTTAGAAGGCAATGTTTATGACTTTCTAGCTAATATGCTATTCCACACACACACACCCTTGCTCAGCCAATGAACAGCAAGGGCTACAGGAACTGTTTTCTACTCTGTTCTGTCAATCCTGCTGTTGGGGGCTAGTACTTTGCAGCGTTGCAATGCAAAGCAAAGTGGAAGACATCAGGTCAAATTCTACCCTGGGTAAATGGCTCCGCTTTCCCCTCTAAGTGCCAAGCTTCTTCTCAGCTGATTCACATCATGCAAATTCAAAGTTAAATGCACTACACATTGGTTAGATTGTCACTTATTCTGAAGGAAAGCAGCTTTGGAAGGGGCCTATTTTGAGTGGAAAATGGGGTGTGTGTGTGTGCTTTACTCTTTTCACCAGCCACTATTGTTCTTCTGATTATTCCCAATCTGTTTCCTCCTCTCCCCTAATTGTGGGGTTCAAAATACAAGCAAATATGTGCTTGGAACCCTGTCTGCAAATAAATGTAATCAAAACAACAACAATAACAACACAGATTTGGACTTCTTCTAAAGTTGCTTTTCTTCATACAAGTAATAAGTATTTTGCCTCTGGGAGAATCCAGTCAATTCCTAATAAGACTGGCAACTGTTATACTCTGTAACCAGTAACCAACATCAGCAATGGGCAGCCAGAATTTTCATTCCAGTCTTGTCTGTAAACTCTGATAATACTGACATAAGGAATGCTTCCTTTCTGAGTCTGCGTATCTTTAGGCCATAGTATGCATTCCTATATCCAAGGCCAGCCTGACCATATAGGCAAACTAGGCAGTCACCTAGGGTGCCAGGCTTTAAGCAGTACCACATTAGGTAGAAGTTAATTGCTTTTCTCCATTTTTAATATAGTATTATGTTATTCCTAGACCTCATATTTCTCATTTAAGTCCTTACTCATGTTTTCTGTGCACAAGAATGAGAGGGAGGCTAGAAAACAAAACTCACAAATGTTCACTAGGAATGTAAGAAATGTTGGAAATGTTAGAAATGTAAGAAAAGTTAGAAATGTAAGAAATGTTAGAAAAGAAAATAATTTGAGAAGCAAAAAGTATACAACTAAAATAATTTTAAGATGTTATGACACTAAACAAATGTTCAAGAAAATGTACAAGTGTAAAAACTTTATCTGCTGCAACTTAAGTACTGTACGCACTATGTTCTGATTTTTTGAAACTTAATTTGTAACTAACTCTCTTATAAAATAATTAAAAACAAAATAAAATAAATGTTTTCTGTGTACAGTGTTGCTCTGGTGTAAGTGATAGTTCTAATCTGGTAACCATGGGCCGGAATATGAATTTCCTAATTAATAAATAATGGCTATAGCTGTCATCCCCCCTTCTTTTTTGGCCCTTTTATATCATGTAAAACCTTGCATGAAATAGCCGCATTACTGTAGGTGTGTGGATCTTATGTCCTTAACTTAGTCATCGTATTGCTTCTCTAGACATTTTTGGTACAAAACAATAAGGATTCTTGCATTCAACCCTGTTCTCGTTGTTCAAGCATAACTCTGGTCAGAGACTCCATATTTGGCTCTGAGACTGGGATTATAATCTTAAAACCAGGATGAGTGAGATGTTACTGTGACATACTTTACAAGTACATACTACTTGTTCACAACATTTATTTATTTTGAATTTTTATGACCCCTATCCAAGAACCTGCCCAAGACCGCTTACATAATAAATTACTAGATTTAAAATACCTTTACCTAAAAGACCTTTGGTAGGATGTAACTGAAACTTTGAAAGTATTAATGGAGTTTGTTTTGAAATAATGCTAGCTTCTCTTGCCTAATTCAAAGGCTGAAAAGACTAGTTCCTTCATTTCATGGTATTTATTTAATTTGAAAGAGATAATCCTAAACACAGATGGGAGTATGATCCAGATAGTTGGTAACTGATTTAAAAATCCTAGAATTATTAGAAATGTACTACCTATGATCTCTCTTATGATGTGATAGTAGTGAAGGCTGGTGTAGTTTTAATGTATAGACAGTTCCAGCTATATTAAACATAATAAAACTAACCCTCTGTAACCCCTCCAGATACACTAATCCTAACAAAAGCCATGGAAATAGGGTAACCATCTGGTTGTTTTTCCCCAGCCCAGTCTTTTAAAAAACTCCTGATCTGCTCCTGTTAGTGAATTGGCTACTTTAGACTGAGCAATATCTTCTGGAACTTGTCAGTCAAAATAAATAATAATAGCTTAGACTCAAGCACTCAGTGCAAAACAGTGAAGAGCTGAGACAATAGGTTTTACAGAACTGAAAGGAGATGGAAAAAGTAACTTGAGCAGTCACATGGGCTGAATGTCATGACAGGCAAAAAATTTCAGTCATAACAGGCAATTTTTTTAAAAAAAGTGTGTGTAAGGGGGGGAGCAAGGGAAATGCTTCCCCTCTTCAATGTCTGCCGGTCTTGCAGACACAAACATCGCCACGTGCAAGCTGTAATTTTTCATCAAGCTGATTTCCATTCAAACCCATTTTAGGCATTCAATGGTCAAAATAAATGTCCTTTTAAAAAAGAAAGACACGCTCGAAGAGGACAATCCTTGCACAAACGTGCTTCCCGGGCCCGTTAATTCCCTGCAGGGCAATGATTCGGATTGTTCATTTAGGCGGTAGCAACAGGCTTCCTAGCCATGCCCTTGAGCTACCCTCACCCGATCATCTCCCCCCACTCCCGATTGAGACAGCGGCTATTCCTTTAAGAAGGCGGGCAAGCGAGGGGGGAAGCTCCATGCGGTTTGACATAACTCTCGCCACGCCCTCCACCGTCCCCCGGTCTGTCATCTCAGGGCATCTTCCTCCCTTTCCCTCCTCCTTGCCCCTCGAATAGACTGCATGCTGATTGGCTCCGGCTGGCGCAAGAGGCGGGGCTGCGTTCGGGGGAGGAAAAAAAACACCTCCCTTACGACGTTCCAATGGGCAGCGCGGTCGGAAAATGATATCCAATGTTCCAATGGGGAAGTGGAGTGTCCCGATTGATCCCGGATGCCGATGGTGATGGCTGTGCTGAATTGATCAGCCGCTGCCGCCTGTGCTGAACGAGGCCGCGGGAGACCTCGCCGGCTGCCTTGCCTGAGGGTTTTTATTTATTTATTTTGATTTAAAGGCAGCGGTTGCAGGATTCACCAGGCTCTGAGATAGAAAGGTTCCGGCAACAACAGCAGTTCTGAGTTTGCAGCGTGTTTGGTTGTTCTCGCCATGAGCAGTCCTCAGGCAGCGGCATTTGCTATTACAGCAGCAGCAGCAGCAGCACCGCCCCCCTCCTCCAAGCGGCTCCCGGTCTCTTCCTCTGGCATCTGAAGCAGCACCCAGTGCAAGTTCTGCGCCTCATTAACTCCGCTGACCTGCTTTTGGGGGGGTAATTAATTGTTTCACTTCCCTGCCTCTATGAGCCTTGAGAAACTGAGGTTTCTTACTCGGTGTGGGTATCTTAATTTTGTTGAAGGAACTGTATATATGTTGTCGAAGGCATATATTTTCAATTTTAATAGAATTTTTTAAAAGGCGTTTTGGGAAGAAAGTTACATTTCTGGCTTTTTCTGTTCCAGCTTTTCCTTTTCCTTTTTAAAATAAAGGCTTCGTTTTGGAAGGGCTTGTGGAAACCATGGGGCTACCTGCCCTGGAATTTAGTGATTGCTGTTTGGACAGTCCTCAGTTCCGAGAGAGGCTGAAATCGCACGAAGCTGAACTGGACAAGACCAACAAGTTCATCAAGGAGCTTATAAAAGATGGCAAGTCGCTCATTGCAGCGCTGAAGAGTAAGTGGCAGGGGCTGCCGGTGCCTGTCAGGACTCTGAAGCAGGTTGATGATGAAGGGGGAGGTGGTAGTTGTGGTGACATAAACTGAAAGGAAAGACCTGCCTCAGATAATGAGGAGAGTTCTTCTGGGGCGTACATAACAAGGAGCAGAAGGACAAGCTAGTTGAAAATGTGGTAGTTTCATAGGCTTGTGCACAAATGGAGAATAGAGTTTGCACCATAGTTTGTACCTCTGTTTCTTGTAACAACAAAGATGTGAGTGGATCTGGGAATGTACCTAGTGCAAAGTGTTGAGAGAAGATAAGGAATGGCACTGCAGTTACACTATGCCAACTAGCCACAGTTGTAGATTAAGAGCCTGGGGTGTGTAGTTCAAAAACATGTAAGTCATTGCTTTCTTTTCCTGGTGTGACCCAGCAACTTTTTGTGAAAGTGAAAGGCCTTTGTGTATAAAACACTTCTCAAAAAGCACTGAAGGTTTCCGGATTAGGTTGTTTGGCTCAAGGAGTCATATTTCTCCCCTGTCTTTTACCCTTATTAGAGTTTTACTTTTGCATTTGAAATGATTTTGCTATAGGTTGTAATGACAGGCATTGAAATCAGTGACTCAAAATTGCCTTTTTCTGTCTTTACCTGCTTGTTAACGAGGGTAGTAACATTAGCAGAAGAATTATACTGTTTTTATTTTAATATGTTTGGCTGTCTAGATTGGTACTTGGGGAACCTGTGGCACTGAATGCTCTCTGATGCCCTTCATAACTGTTTAAAAGAACTCTAGAGAGATGCTCTTTAATGGAAACACTATCCAGCCATGATCCCAAATAATATTACTGCACCATATAGCTCTTTGCCCCTTTTCTTCAGAATTCCATCAGAATTTCAGTTCATGTTCCTGAAACACAAGTTGCATACTTGTATGCCACTGTAAAGTTGACCAGTGTGCAATGGTTTGCTCTTTACTGTCTTGCCCCTCCCCCCGCTTTCTATAATGACAGATCTGAAATAATTGTCTTAAAAGATGCCTGGAGGATTTCATTTGTTTCCACAGGGACAATACTACAAGACTGTCTCGAAAATGAGTCTGACAGGGCAGAGAAAAGCATAGCTACTTAATCAGAAGGCCAAGTGATGAAACAGAAGCCTTGCAGGCATAAACCTTACCTTACCGCTTGATCTTGTGTCCTTAAGTAGACAAGTTTAACTCTGCACAGTATTGGCCTGTTAAGGCCAACTGAATCTCAGCCTGTTACACTTGACAAAAATTTGGGTGAGAAGCATGGTTCTCATGTAAGTTTGGTGATAGTAAGCAATACTGGAGAACAGAGCCTCTGATCAGGTCTCTTTCCTTTTGGTGTTAACTTGTCTGAAGCTGTCTTTTTACGATGTCTTTGGTGCAACTCAGGTTTGATCCTTCCAAGGAAAGAGGAAGAGGGGCACACACAACCATGCATATATCAAGGTACCAAATGGTACTGTTCATTAGTGGCATGGGAATGACAGCACGATGGAGCATTGCTTTACATTGCCTTTCTCATAAGTCTCTGATGCCCTGCCCAACTTTTGTCTAGTGCTACCTCACACATGACTGCATTCTTTGTGGCCAGCATACATGACTGGAGTTTGTGTGGCCCTTGCTTTTTTCTTTCCATAAATTATACACTTGTCCCACCAGTGGGTGCCCAATTTTGGCAATACTAGTAGATAGTATCTGAAATATGCTACCATTGAAAAGGTTTGGTACCTGGATTTGTTTCTCTGTCAGGTGGCGTAATATTGTTGTAAAAGCTGTTCTGAGGTAGGAGGCTGTTTTTTATTCAACACAAATTTTACATCATTATACTTCATCCCGTACTTTTACTTATCTTTTGGCCCTTTGCTCCTGCTGTCTTTTGTATGTGTGTGTGGGGGGGTCATACTTCCTACATAAAATTATAGCATAGTGAGGATCCCCTAATTGCATCTTAAGGATGTACTCTAGTCCATGGAAGTTTATACTAAAATAAATTTTTTGTTAGTTTTAAAGGTTTTATTAGCAAGTCTTTGCTTGCCTTATAAGCCGCCCTGAGCCCTACGGGGAAGGGTGGGGTATAAATTTAATAATAAATAAATAAATAAATAAAGGTGTCACAAGACTTTTGTCTCTGCTGTAACGCGGGCACCCCTCTGAGATTGAAGAGTTGAGTGAGAAAAGGTACAAGTGAGTGTGTAATTCCGTAGTTGCCATATCCTTGCTGAGAGAGCTTTGCAGCTCAGATGTTCTTTCTGCTGTTATTTCTCTGCTTCCTTGATAGCACAATGTTAAAGGGTCTTTAACTGCATTTCAGTTTTTTGATGGGGATGCCTCCAAGGAATGTACACCCCCCTTGCTCTATAGGGGTTCCTTTGGGACAAAACCTTGTGTTGACTGGTATCAAGATGCTACCACGTGACATGATGGTGCATTCCTACTTGACACAGCAGCTTGGAAGTTTTGCATGCCTTGACTTATTTTTGGCTCCACTAACATACACTGGGTTGCTTATCCAGAATGAGGGCAGCTGGCATGACTGTTCGGGGTCGTGTATATCAGGATTGCAGTTGTATGTTGCTCAGCTGTAGCTGTGAAGTTTTATTTATGAACCTCCTTTCTACTTTGGTGTCAAATTATGGCCAGATTTGTGCTGTTTTGTACGTTGTGATCTATTCAGAATTTTCCTTTTGAACTTGACCTTTTACACTTTGCATGATTGTTAAAATAAATATTCATAATTTTGCCAACTCGTCACCAGTAATGTAATAGCAGCCTGTATGTTTTTGCATATGTGAGAGATTGCTGTCCTGTATATTTTTTGCATTTGTGAGAGATTGCTGTCTGGGCTAGAAATTAACACTTCATTGTGGAAAAGCCATCTGCAGTGCCACAGAATTCTTTTTGACAGGGCAGTGAACTATGAAACTGCTTTATTGCAAAGGTACTGTTCGGTCAGACTTTAGTTCTGGTGAATTACTGAAATCATGCTGGGTGGTGAAAATTGCCATTCAAAGATTCCCCCCCCCCCGGAATAACGACCATTTATAAAATGCTGTACTAGTCTTTTTAGCGTTTAGCTACTACTGCTGGAGTCTGTTCATCATCAGAGTTTTGCACAAAGTAGAAATGATTTCTGTGATCAAGCAGTAGATGGCTTGGCTGCACATACTTCCCATAGTAGTGGCAAGATTAAAGTATGAAGGAATAGTTTTGGAATGAACTCTCTCAGAATGTGATTTGTTCGTGTTTCTTAAAATAAGCAGGGTGAGGGAAAAAGAACAAATGGGATCTTACACCTGTTAATGCTCCCAGGCTGTATCTGTAGATGCCTTGTATATGATCATGTTCATCTGGATAACAGTTTTCATGTGGATAACAGCTCATCTGGATTATAAGAGTTTATACAGTTTCCCCCTAGGTTAGAATTCTTGATGTGGGGCTGGGGTGAGAACATGATGGCTGTTTTACTAGGAAATTCCATTTTTTGCCCCAGCCTCCTAAGTACTTCCCCCTGCAAACATGATTTCCAACTTTATATAGTGGGGTTTTTTGGGTTGGTTTTTTTTTTTACTCTTACCCTCCCTCAAAGGAGGGCAGGGCATTGTATAGAGTTTTCCTTTTCTTCTTTTGTACCCTGACACCAGCCCTGTGAGGTAGACCAGACACTGGGAGAATGAAGGGCCTAGGGGCACCCAGTAAGTTTCATGCTGAGCAAGGATTTGAATGCAGGTTTCCCTGTCCTAAGGTTGTTGTTTTTAGGATTGACGGGTGAGAAACTTGTGTACAAGTGTGGTTCAGAATGTGGTCTCTGGATTGAGGAATATGTTTGTATGTTCTGTTGAGCTGTCATATTACAAATGAGCAGCATTTTTTAATACAAGGATACCTGAAGCTTCAATATGCAGGGGCTTTTTAGGTGGCTGCTCATTATTGATGTCAGGCTCTTAGGTGGGGGTAAAGGAAGATCACTTGAAATTTGCTTTCTTGCTATCTCCGTGTATCACTCGGTATTCAAGAGTGGCCTATGCTTTGTTAACACATTTCTTTCTCTTTTTGGTTCCTTATGGCATGTGTAAATTATTCTAGAACTTGAGCAAATGGTAAGCTTCAAGTGACACACAAAAATGAAATGCAAATAGTGGGTGTAGAACTTGACTTATGGATAAGAATAGCAAATGGCAGGGAACAGTCTCAAAAAGGGGATGGCTAACCTCAGCAGCATCAAGGAGCCACTGGAAATGCTGGGTTCTCTACAGCACATCTTCATGAAATGAATCTTGGTTGGCCCTGCAGGTTTTACTACTTTTCTGCAGCTTTGCAGAAATACAGGAGACCCTGCTCCTGGGGGGGGGGGGAGGTGTCGATCTGTTGCTCTGTGTGTCACTTGACCAGTGTTGTTTCCCCTCCCTGCTATTAACTCCAGTGGGGGAAGGGGGAAACTTAGGTGTTAGAAAAGTTACTTGTGTTACTTTTTTTTGTAGTTGGGGGAGGAATCTAGAGTTGGTAAATGGCATGTGGTGAACAGGGTTTGGATTGACTCTAAGAAATGTTAGTGAATTTTTAACTTAGGAAAAAATGTGCAGCTACTAGCAGATATTTGTTAACCACTGGCTTAGAATTCTGTTTTGGGGCACAACAAATACTTGAACTGAACATGCATTTGTTTAAGCTTTGGCAGAGCTCACTTGTTTCGCTTCCAAAGTCTTTATGGAGTGCTAGAAGTGTACATTGTTGGTGCATGTTGTATGTAATGGAGGTTTTCAGTCTATTATACTGATTCCAGGTGTCTTAAATTAATTTGTTTAAAATATCTATAATTTTTAAATCCATATTTTCCACATAGTTAGCTTGAGGGAGAGATCTGAGACTTTGGTATGAATTAATGTTCAGTAGTAAATTTCTATAGGCCGAGCAAACTGGAGCTACTAAATATTTTGCTGGGTCAGTCTTCTCCCATCCCCCCCCCCCCATAATGCCTCTTTTCATTCT